TACAACTGTCAACAAATTGCTGGTTTTGAATACCGTTAAAAAATTCACACCACAGTTATAGAAGAATGTCATCATATGCTGCTATTTAGTTCTATCTTTAAAGTTCTTTCTCATTGTGTGTTAATTATAACGTAGTTCTATTAAGAGAATTCTATCTGGGGCGTTTTTTTTGCAGACCTCAAGGCTAAACGACTAAAAAAATTATATCAACCAACCTATTACACCTGAAAATCCAGATTAGAATTTACATTTTTAAGATACCACCCTGCATATCAATTTGTGGACTTTTACTGAAGGTTTATTTTTTTATATATATATACATATATAAACACACACACTTTCTCTTTTTGAAGCATAACTATATTCGTGTTATTTCTGTACAGGTCTCCTTGACCATGTAACGGTTCTTATTGGAATTGCTTATGGAGGCAAAGCAATAGCAGGAGTTATTAACCAGCCATATTACAACTATCAGGTATTAAACACATTGATTTGTTTAAAAGCATTAGGTGATTTCTGACTGACACTTCTAAGCCGTTTCTAGGTAACAGACTTTCAAGTGAAAAGCAGTGTGTAGTGGAGTTAATGTTGTAATATAAGGTGGTGGTGTTTTTGTTAAATATATACAATTTTGAGTGTTGGTTTCCAGGAACTGAATCTCGGGGACCTACTAACAGCCACACTGAATCCTGAGGCTTGTATAATACACTATTACAGTATGTATTACATACGTACTGTACATATTACTACAGCACCTAAAAAGCACATATTGTAAACCAGGTACAGATTGGTATTTTTGCAGTCTTTGCTAGAAAGTCTTTAGTAGATCCATGCAGTAGGTGCATTTGTGATGTGTGGTAACTGCCATAAATCTGCAGCCCTAAATAAACCAAGCGTAACCTGCTGCTGACAGCTGGGTTAGAGTGTATCAGGCCATGTTTCAGGTGTAAATACAGGATGGTTAACCTACAGGCATTTACACATGTTTGGGGGTTATTTCATTATTATCTGCAAGGAGTAAGAAAAGCAGCCTGATTAATTAAACTTAGGAGTTTAAAGAAAAAGTTCCTGAGCTGATGTAATGCATATCATCAGCTGATTCTATATGTTCTATGTGATATGTATGATGAAGCATTTAAAATGACAAGATATTTTCAGTTATAGATTGTGCCTGAAGTACAGAAATACCCGAATATTAATCTGTCAGTCCTTAGAGGCCAGATGTAATGCACCACCACAATGTCACAGATAAGAAAAG